TATAAAAATTAGCCAGGCATGGTAGCATGCCTGTAGTCCTAGTTATTCAAGAGGCTGAGTGAACCCAGGAGTTTGAGGCTGCAGTGAGATGCAGTGAGCTATGATTGTGCTACTGTACTCCAGTCTGGGCAACAGAGACCCAATCTCGTTTTTTTTTAAAAATGGCAAATGAAAGAAGTCAGACACAAAAAAGCACACACTTTATGATTCTGCTTATATGAAATGACCAGAAGAGGTTCAGCTATAAAAACAAGATCAGTGGTAGCCTGGAAGCAGGGGTGGGAATGATTAACTATTAAATGCTCTGTGCCTTGACTTCTTCATATGATATGTAGTGAAAATTACAGTATCTAACTCAAAACGGTTCTCTGAAGAAAAGCAAGATAACACAGGTTAAAAGGTTAAAACAATCTAGGTAATCTTAAAATAAATCTTTGAATAAATTTATTAGCCAGGATTGGTGGCTCAGCCTGTAATCCCAGCGCTTTGGGAGGCTGAGGTGAGTGGATTGCCTGAGCCCGCGGGATCGAGACCCGCCTGGGCAACTTGGCGAGACCTCATCTCTACAATAAATCAAAAATTAGCCGGGGGTGGTAGTGTGCTCCTGTAGTTCCAGCTACTTGGAAGGCTGAGGCGGAAGGATCGCCGGAGCCCAGCAGGTCGAGGCTGCAGTGGCCAGGAGCGGCCACTGCACTCCAGTCTGGGTGACAGAGTAATACTCCAACTCAAAAAAAGAAAGAAAGAAAGAAAGAAATTTATTACAACATGCATGTAATAAGTTATAAACACAGAAAAAAGTATGTTTATAGTTATTTAAAGATCTGGTAACTATATTTTCTATACACAAAAGTCCTTTGCTGAAATAGGTCTGCCATTTTACATTCTTACCCTATTAACTTTTTATTATAAAGAGTAGGATGTTGGCCAGGTGTGATGGCTCATGCCTGTAATCCCAGTACTTTGGGAAGCCAAGGTAGCAGAATCACTTGAGCTCAGGAAATCAAGATCAGCCTGGGCAACATCATGAGACCCTGTCTCTATAAAAAGATTTTAAAAGTGATGGGCATGGTGACATACACCTGTAGTCTCCTAAGCCCAGGAGGTTGGGGTTGCAGTGAGCTGTGATCATGCCACTGCACTCCAGACTGGGTAACAAAGTGAGACCCTGACTCAAAAAATAAAAAGTAAGTACAATGTTGTTCATTTTGACACTAACATCTGGACCAAGAAACTCTGGAAGTCACCACTACTGGGGCCAAAGGCACTGACCTCACTGACACACACTTTTCTACGTCCTCTTGTCTTTTATAAGATATGCTATGGTACTGGGACACCTAAGTTCTCCCCAGATATCAAATAGTGATACAGACATTGACTCATAAAGTCAATCCTGGTCACAGACCATTTCAAGATAGGTACACATAAAGTTACTAATCCATCACGCCACTAGACAAATAAATAGTGATTTAATTTTAAACCTTTGAAATACCTACTGCAGTGAATATAACTTGCATGTCTCTGGTTATTTTCTCACCAGCATCAACATTTATATTTTCTTCTTTATGATCTCTCAGACTATAAAATGTACTCATTTTCACTCTTCTCTTATTCTTTAAATATTCCCAGAAAAGATTTCTAATATGAAGGGAAATGGAGACAAATTTCAATGTTTAATAAATTTTATCTTGATAACATCAAAAACAAGATTAGCTCTTACATTACAATATAAAAAAATACATTAGTTTTCACATCAGTTTTACATGGAAATATATAATTATTTGAATATTTAAATATAGCTTTTTTAACCAAAAAAAAGTATTACTCAGAGCCCTAGTTACATAAATAATTAAAATGCACAAATGCAAAAACACACCTTTCACAATACTGTCCACATACTGTATAACTCAGGACAATTACAATAAAAATCTATGCAAGATACTGAACAAGATTAATAAAATATTCATCATGGTTGTAATTTGGTTTTTTACTGTTAAAATAATTTAAAGCATTATTTAATACACAAAAAAACAACTGTTTTATCTAATCTGCAAATGAAGCCAACATTTACTTAGACAAAGGGGCACACCTTGTATCCTACCAAATTCCAAAATTAATTCACTTTCTCTTTAACTTAAATTTTAAGTTTTACAATTTCAAGCTTTCAATCTTGTCTAAAATAATATAATTACCAGAACTCAGTAAACATTTCCAAAATGTTAAACAAAGTAAACAGTACTGTATTATACTTTTATATGTTTGGAAATATAAAATTTAAATATAAACCTTTTCCCTCGCCCCAACCCCATAATGGCACTTAGAAGGACTTCCAGTGTAAAAAAGGTAGCAATATTTTTTAATGTTAAATTTTGTTCACTTGAATTATAAGAACTGTCCTTTCTGCATGATGTAATCAAAAGATATGATACATCACATTTACACAGTACATTATTTCCAAATGATCTTTTGCTTTTAAACCTGCACTGAAAGAATGCAGGGTGTCTATTAATCATATTTAAGGAATTAAGTGTCCTTTTCATAGGAAAACATGACACCAAAACCCACAAAGAGAATACTTTCATATATCAGCTGTTTACTTCCTAATCAGCAGGACAGAGTTTTCTTCCTAAATTAATATTAGTGGGTTATTTTGAACTAGAGGCCCACAGTGATCTTTTAAGAAAGGAAATGAAAATTTATTTGCATATGGGGAGCAAGGTCAAAGGAAATACGATATATGCTGCACTGTAACTAAAAACATTAAAACTTGTCCATTTTGTTCAACATAATTACTATTTAAATTTAGAAGTAAAGAAATGACAACAGAACTCCATCAGTGCACACCCACAGGTTAGTAAGTCAAGCCCCTGAAATAAAACCACATTGAGAAACCAACTGTGTACTAGGTTTCATTAAGGTAACACATTTTTAAATTCTGAAATCAAGATACAGCTTAACACTGACCCAGGTTTCAATAACTAAGGTAGTTACACAATAGCTATACTTTCTGTCTTTACTTAACACCAGTGACATAGGACAACCCAGGATCTTAGCTGGATGGGAATGCATAATGGTTGAACACGCATCCCAGCTCAGCCAGCATCCTTGAATAAAAGTTCTGGATGTGTTCTGAGTATCACAGACTTGAGTTGCATATCCTAACATCTTTGATTAAACTCAGTTAACAAGTATAAGACAAACTAATGTACAAGGACAGGCTTTCACTTACAAAATGAGCCTCCACAGAGGTTACCAGTTTTGATTTTTTTTGAAATATTAAGTAATTTACTAATGACAACACATAATGGCCTGTCCAAGTAATATTACCAAGTCAATGACTTTCAGCTCAAGCTATTAAAAAATGATATGGTAATGCCTAAAATATTTTTAAGGAATAAGGCCACAAAGTAGCCTGGATTTTCATGTTAAACCACCAACCTTCATGTAGAAGGGAGCAAAAAAGGTAGTTTAAAAAATAAAGCAAACCAAAAAAACCCTAATGACACTGGCAAAATCATTTGCCCCATTAAGATCTAATAATGTTAGCTGGGCATGGAGGCTCACACCTGCAATCCCAGCACTTTGAAAGGTGGAGGCGAGAGAATTACCTGAGCTCAGGGGTTGAGACCAGCCTGGGCAACATGGTGAGACCTCGTCTCTACAATAAATTTAAAAAAAAAAAAAAAAACAGTCAGGCATGGTGGTACACACCTGTAATTCCAGCTGTTTGGAAGGCTGAGGCAGAACTGCCTGAGTCCAGCAGGTCAAGGCTGCGGTGACCACAAGCATGCCACTGAACTAGAGCCTGGGCGACAGTGAGACAACCCAAAAAAAAAATCTAATAATGAAGAAAAGTCTATGGAGATTGCATGTGTACATGCATCCAAGTAAGGAAAATTAGAAACCTGTAGAACCAATGTAAATGAAGGAGGAGGAGTTTGTTATACATATAAAATCATGAGGCAGTTTTTAAAAACTGTATTAAAAAGTATGGAATCTCATTCTCTGGAATGCTTTCCAAAAAAAGATAAATTATGGTCAGGCGCAGTGGCTCATATTTGTAATCCCAGCACATTAGGAGGTAGAGGCTAAAGGATTACCTGAGCCCAGGAGTTTAAGACCAACTGGGCAACTTGGCGAGACCTCATCTCTACAATAAATCAAAAAATTAACTAGGTGTGGTGGCACTCGCCTGTGGTTCCAGCTACTTGGAAGGCTGAGGCAGATGGATCACCTAATCCCAGCAGGTCGAAGCTGTGGTAGCTGTGCTCATACCACTGCACTCCAGTTTGGGTAACAGAGTGAGACTCTGACTCAAAAAAAATAAAAAGAAATTACGTTGTTTGTGATCATGTAAGTCAACTCCACTCAAAAGTTGAAATGATTCATTATAATTCCTTGATTATCTAGTTAGAATACTATGTTAACAATGCTACTCTGAGCACACAGAAGGTAGGCACATGTACATTTGTTCCAAGTTTTTTTGTTTTGTTTTTCAAGTTGGAGTCTCACTCTGTTGTCCAGGCTGGAGTGCAGTGGCACGCTCACGGCCACCACAACCTCGACCTGCTGGGCTCAGGTGATCCTTCCGCCTCAGCCTTCCAAGTAGCTGGAACTACAGGCACGCGCCACCATGCCCAGCTAATTTTTGGATTATAGAGATGAGGTCTCGCCAAGTTGCCCAGGCTGGTCTCAAACCTGTGGGTTGAGGCAATTCTCTCACCTCGGCCTCCCAAAGTGCTGAGATTATAGGCGTGAGCCACCGCGCCCGGCCTGTTACAAAATTTTAAAAGTAGTAACATGATAGCATTACTGTTCGTTATACTCATTCTCTGATATCACCTGCTGGTATGAGAGAATCATAAAAAAAAAAAATCAATAAAAGGGACCTAATTTGTGAGACAAAGTTCTATATAGTGTGCTCAATTATGAAGAATTAAGACGAAGCTCTTCCTACAGAAAATATTGGACAAAGGTTGCTGTTGAATCTAAAAAAAAGGGGGTGGGACCTTAAACACTAATTTTAAATGAATACAAAAGTTCTGAAAAATAATATTTATGGTAAAATAGCTGCAGGTTAGTTTTCTCACCCAGTTGGGAAGTTGTGTGCACTCAGTACCAAGGACATTTCCACTGAGGCCCCCGGCCCCACGCTGGCCACAGCAGGCAGCCTCTACTTGGACTGTCTGCCTCTCCGCCTGTTTGACAGCCGAGTCATCATTCTCTCTGCACGTGGTAAACAAGACAAGCTTCTCAATTCATAGGGCTTGGTGGGTGGAGGTGGCTTTCCCTTCCTCTTGCGTGCTTTATTTGCACTCTTCTTCCTTCTAACTTCGCTGCAGGCAGCCCGCATAGGTGGCTTCAGAACTGGCCTGGTCATGGTGCTTGAGGCCTTAGCAGAAACTGGTAGGACTGCCGAGGTTAAAGGCATCAGGGCTGGCCTCCTGACTTTCTTCAGCCTCTGCACCCCAGACTCCTTCAGATACAGTCCCAGAAAGGCGCTCCTGGACTGGTATTTGTGGCGTAAAAACACTGAGTATTTTGAAAGATACTTTCTAATTACATCACTTGGCTTGGTTCGAATCCAAATGGACTGTTTTTCTGAAGCGTTTCTGTTTTTTTGCTGGAGAATAACTGGTTTATGAATCTTTTGGGGGAAACCTGGCATATGACTAGCTGTCATCTTCTGTTGAATTTTCTTTTTACTTTCTAGAAATTCACTTCTGACTGACTTTGAAGAGATTTTGGCAACACCACGATTTAGGAGAGTCAGCTGGGAATCACTATCCTTTGGAATCACCTGGGCATTCAGAACCTCAGGTTCATCCACAAACAGAGGAGATTTGTCACACTCTGCCGGCACTGTGGCCAGGGGTACCAGGGCAGAGCTCTGGTGTGTGTCATGTCCGTCTGCATCAGGGGTGTGCAGGAGGCTCCTGTTAAAACTTATCTCCACCCAGTTGCGCCTGTCCAACTCCGGGACCATCGTGTGCAGTGGTGGATTAACAATGATTTGCTTAATCAATGGCTCATAATAGTCAAAGATATCCCGCTGATATTTGCACATGAACCGCATCCCATCATCCCACCCATGTTGATTCAGCTTGGAGAGGTGGAGGCACTCATCATCCTTCATTTTCACATTCAAAGAAGACAGGATGCAGAGTAAGGCTTGGGGCTGTCCAGGCTTTGAGTCTTCAGTGCAAGTTGCAGGAAGCTCAACAGTCCCAATTCTGACTTTCTTTTTTGTTTTCCTGTCGCCCTGTAAACCCTTGCTTTTGGGCAAGTCCTCCTCTTGTCTAACTCTTTTTCTTTTCAATGAGGGGTAATTTGTGGACCTGGCCTGAGTTCCATGACTGCCTTTCACCATCTGGCACTGAGAAGACGTATGGCCCTTTTGCTTGGGAGGCCTCTCTGCTGCAGGCCTCTCTGCTGCAGGCCTCTCTGCTGCAGGATGGCATGGTTCATCTAAGGCCACTGAAAAGTCATTGGTATCTGAAATTCCTCCTGTGGTATCATCACCATCTGACTGAGCCTGAGTTGACACAGTGTCCTGTTTGAGGTCAGCCCAGGTCACCCTTTTTTTTTTTTTATTTGAAACAACTTTTTTGGTCTCACAGTCATCATCAAAGTAACAGTGGAAACGACCTTCCCTAAATTCCTTCACAAGAGCATTTATTTTTATGTCGTCTTCTCTCATGATCTGAGACCATGTTTTCCCCACAAATGAAGGAGGGACATGAGGCAGAGCTTCCAGAACAGGCTCGTCAGAATGACCTCCTGTGACCTCCTGTGCTTTGTCCAAATTCCTTACAGCATCAACTGTGAAAACTGAGCTCAACTGGGAATCGTGATTCTTTTCCTTCAGGTCAGAAGAGACCTTCTTCAATATGCCTCTTCTATTAACAGCTTCTTGAGGCTGGTCAGTGACAGACTGAAGAGAGGGATCATGCTGAAAATTCATCTCAGAACCGCAAGGTTCATAGCTCCTACTTTTTAGATCTGTCTGTTTTAACTTCAAAAGTTTTTTTTTATCAGCCCTTTGATGGATTACTGACTCGGGAGAGACACCACAATCCCCCGAAGAAACATGAGACTGACAGCTCTTACCTTTCAGGTTGGTATTTCTTAGATCTTTCCTGACTTCTTTGTGAGTTTTCTGTAGTCGGTGAGTCACTGGGTGAGAAGAGTGTTCCAAATTAAAATTTCCATTAGGACTAGAAGGTTCAGAGCTCTTATCTTCCGGGTCAATATATTTCACCATTTTTTTATCAGGCTCTTGTGACTGGTAAGTCATAAACTCATTAGAGGTGTCATCATGCAAATGTATTTCAGAACCACAAGACTGGCAACTTGAATCTCCAAGAATAATATAGTCTTTCTTCCGGTTTATGATTTTGAAAGTCTCTTTGCACTGGTTTGTCCCTGAAGGAGAAAGGGCTTCACAACTACATCCTACCTCAGAACCAAAAGAGTCACAGCTCTTATCTTCTATGACACATTCTGCATTTACACAGCTGATATCTTTGACAGTCATTGAAGGTGGGTCAGTCACTAACTGAAAAGGAATATCAGAATCAGAAATCACTTCACAATCACTATCACCGGGGATCAGATCCACAAGTACCACCTTTGGAAGATTTGTTTCTTTGACTGACCCTTGAGATGGGTTAACTACTATTTGAAAAGGGACATCAGAATCACACACCATTTCAGAATCACTAGGTTCACTGGTCTTGTCTTCCACATCAAGATGCTCTTCCTTCTGAAGGTGTGCTTCTCTGCAGGACCCATGAGTTTGGTCGACTTCTGACTGAAGATGAACACAAGAATCACATTTCACTTCAGAACCACAGAGTTTACAGTCCTCATTGTCCAGGTCATGATGATCCTTCTTTTGCAAGTTTATTTCTTGGACAGATACAGAAGATGGATCAGTCACAAACTGAACAGGAATATCAGAATCACAACTTACTTCAAAATCACCTAGCTTATAGCTCTTATCTTCCAGGTAAATACGATCTTCCTTCCACAGATTTATGTCTTTGACAGACTGCTGGAGCTGATCAGCCACTGACTGAAAAGAGTCAATGGAATCAAAACTTCTTTCAGGTCTATAACAATCACTGCTCTTATCTGCCAAATTAGCATGCTCCTCTTCCAACGTTTGTGGTTGCCTAATCACTGACTGAAGAGGAATATCTGAAACATAAATTATTTCAGACTCACTGGGTTCACAACCCTTATTATCCAAACAAACATGTTCCTCCCTCAGATGATGTATTTCTTTATTAGCCCCTTGAATTTTATTAGCCACTGACTGAAGAGGCTCATCAGAACCAAAATTTATTTTAGGATCACCAGGTTGGACAATCTTATTTTCCAAGTCAACATGCTCTTTCCAAAGGCTGACCTCCTTAACCCCTTCTTCCGACTGGCCAGCTACTGTCTGAAGGACATCAGAATCACATACAATTCCAAAACCCTTAGCTTCTCCCCTCTTATCATTCACATCAACTTCTTCATCCTTCCAAAGGCTTACTTCTTTAATGGTTTCTTGAAACTGGTTAGTCACTGACTGAAGAGGGTCATCAGAATCAACAGTTATTTCAGAATCACAACACTGATCATGCTTATGTTCCAGTTCAACATGCTCCTGCTCTGAAGCAGTTATGTGAGGTCGATTAGCTACTGACTGAACCAGGAAATCAGAATCCTTACTCACTCCAGAGCAACCATATGAGCTACTCTGAATGTCCAGGTCCACATGACCTTTATTCTCAAGGCTTGTTTGTTTAATGGCTACTTCAGGTTGACCAGTCACAGAATGAACAGAAACTGCAGTATCGTGTATTAATTTAGAACCAGTATGCTCATCAATCTTCTTTTTCAGGAGAATAGCTTCTTCCTTCCACTGATTTATTTTTTTAATTGCTTCCTGAAGTTGTTCAGAATCAAAAGTTATCTTACAATCAACTGATTTACTGTTTTTGTCTTTCAGATTAACATAGTTTTCAGCGAGTTGAGGTTGCTCAGTCATTGAATGAGGAGGGACATCAGAATCCAAAGCTATTTCAGAACCACTACACTTCTCATTCTTATTTTCTAGAACATGCTTCTGCTTTCCGCTTATTTTTTCAATAGCTACCTGAGGTTCAGTTACTGAATCATGAGGGACACCAGCATCTAAGTTTGTTACTAAGCCACTAAACTCGGCATTTTTACCATGAAACTCAGTACACTTTTCTTTTTGAAGCCATACTTCTTTAACAACTCCTTCAGGTTTGTGAGTCACTGATTGAAGAGCAGTATCAGAATTCAAATTTGTTCCAGAAACCCCCTCATTTTCTAAGTATGCATGCTCTTTTTTCTCAAGGTTTATTTCTTTAATGGGATCTCCAGAATGTCCAGTCATTGAATGAAAAATGGTATCATAATCCGAAGCTAATTCAGAATCAGCAGGTTCATTTTCCTTATCTTCTAAGCATGCCTGCTCCTCTTTCTGAGGATTTAGCTTTCTAGCAGTGACTTCAGGAGAACTGGTCACTGCATGAAGAGGTGCATAATAATCAGAAGTGATTTCAGAACCACAGGGTTCATCACTCTTCCTTCCTACGTGTCCGTACTCCTCCTTCTGAAGGATTACTTCTTTACCAGCTACTTCAGGTGGATCATTTCCTGAATGAAGAGGAATATCAGAATCAAAAGTTATTTCAGAAACACAAGATTCATTACTTTTATTTTCCAGATCAACAGTTTCTTCCTCATAAACAGCTACTTGAGGTTGGTCAACTACTGAACAAAGAGAAAGATCAGAATCAAACGTTATTTCAGAACTACTCGACTCACAGCTCTCATCTTCCAGGTCAATGTGTTCTTTTCTTTCAAGATCCAGCTGAGACTGGTCATTAACGGACAGAAGAGGGGGATCAGAATCAAAAGTCAGCTCGGAACTGGAGCATGCACAGCTCGTGACTTCCACGTCAACATTTAACTCTTCAAGACTTATGTCATCCAAGGCTTCTGGAGGCCGATCATTAGCTGACTGACAGAGAGATGCTTGAGAATCAAAACTCACGTTAGAAATGCTAGACTGAGCATTCTTATTCTCTAAGTCAATATCAGCGTCTGGGGGCTTTACTTCTTCAGCTGCTGCTTGAGAATGGTCAGCTACTAAGTGATCATCAGTGTGAAGACCCACGTCGGGACCAGGAGACTCACAGCTCACATCCATAAGGTCATCATTCTTCTCATTCAGAGGGTTTATTTCTTCAAGAGCCCTTGGGGGGTCATCTGTCACAGTTTCGGGAGAGACATAACAGTCCAGATGTGCTCTGGCACGCTTGGGTTTACACTTCTTATGTTTTGAACGGCCTCGTCTACCTTTCAGGTTCCTTCCTCTGATGGTCAGTTGGGGAGAATCAACTACTGACTGAAGAGAACCATCACAATCAAAACTTGTTTCAGAACAGCTCGATCCATAGTTTTTATCAACTAAGTCAATATGAACTTTCATTCCAAGACTTGTTTCTGGGGCAGCCACTGGTGGTAGATCAACAACTGACTCAAGTGGGAAAGAAGAATCGGCACTAACTTCCGAGCTACTAGAACCGTAGTTTTTATCAACCAAACCAATGTGTACCTCCTGAGGAAGGTCTATTTCTTGCACAGGCTGCTGGGAGTAGTCATCAGCGGACTGAAGTGAGGCATCAGAATCAAAATTCATTTCAGAAACACTAGACTCATAGCTCTGGTCAACCAGGCTGACACGTACTGCATTCTGAAGACTTACTTCATTAACAATGACTTGGGATTGGTTGGCAACCAAGTGAGGAGGGGCCTCACAATCAGAATTTATTTCAGAAGCATAATGTGGATTATTCTTATACTGCAAGTCAGCAGGTGCTTCCTGGGAAAGATGTGTTTCTTTGGTAGCAACTTTCAACTGATCATTCAGTGAACAAAGAGAGGAACTGCAACTGAAATTCATTTCTGGATCTCTGGATTCATAGTTCCTCTCTTCTTGATCAGTCTCTTGGTGTTGATCAGATGCTGACTGAAGGGAGCTACAATCAAACTTCATTTCAGGACTCACTGAACATTTCTGTTTCACAAAGGCTGACTTGTTAAAAATCGTATGTTTTTCTTCTTGGGTACAATCCATATTAAAGGATTCCTCATGATACTTTGGAATGGAATCATCCAAGATACCTTTATTAGAAGGCATGTCAGTTTTATTCAGGTTTAATGCTGAGTTTTCTGCTAATTCAGAAGGAGATTCGACTCTTAAGGGAGCCTCAGTACCCATACATTCTTGGAATTTAAAGCCAGGTAACAGAGTTTTACCATGAGATTTTACATCTTTGTGTACAACCACTTTATCTGAATTCATACATAAAGATTTTCTATTTGATTCCTTTGGTTTCTGATATGAAACTGAAGGCGCTTCCAGATGGGGTGATGACTCAGGATTTCTAGAGATCCTGTCTGGCTGTTCAAGGTATCCATCAACTTTGTTTGGGTCACATGTGCTAACTAAATCCAAACTGGTTGCTGATGGTAGCTTAGTCGTGTGAGCTGTAACCAGTCTATCGTCAGAACTGGCAGGTGGACAACTTGCAGGAGCATTGCAAATCACTGGGGGACGAAGTAAGTTGTTTCCAATATTTGAAGCTTGACCAAAATCTACTGGATTACATTTTCTCACACCAGTCCCAATTTTATGATCAAACTCCAAAGGCTGCTGCTGTCCCTTCTCCAGTTTTTGAATAACAGATGGTCGAACTGAAAGCTCCTTTGTACATTCCTGAGATTGACTTGACGTGGCGCGCAACTCCTCACTGCCTTCGGAGCCCTTAGAGGGTGTCTCTCCTCTGGCCCCGGTGTCCTCCTCAGCCTCCTCCTCAGAAACATGGTCATCCACAGGCAGTACTTCAGCAGGCGACGCAGTGTTCACAAGCATCTCATTTTGCACTGATCTAAAAAGAAAAGGGGGGAAATCCATAAATACATTCTAATATCCACTTTAAAAGTTTAAATAAAGGCTTAATAAATGTTGTTTTCTTTCTATTCTGGACTATCCCTAAAGGATGGAGTCAAGGAGATTATCCAGTTTGTATACCATGGGGCTTCGGGGAGATCATGCAGAGGATGGAGATGGCACCACCAGGGGCACTTAAGTACAGATGGCTCCTAAATATGAAAAGCCAAATAAAACCAAGTACCACTTATCAGCTGTCAGAGTGGTAAGTAGCAAAGAGTTTCACACAGATTACTTAACATTGTATGCTTCAGTTTCTGCCTCCACGAAAAGGGAATAATAACACGAGTTTCTGAATAAACTAAACTTTTTAAATATCAGTGCATTACTTGCAACAAATGTACCATATTAATGTTAATAATAAGGAAACTTGGTGAGCAAGTGTAACAGAAAACTCTCTGTATCATTTCCTCAATTGTTCTGTTCATTTAAAATTCTTTATAGTAGTTAAAAAAAATATATAAGATAAATGAAAATAATTACACCTAAAACACTTACTAACTCTTTTTTCTTTTTTGCAGTTGAAGCAAGACATTAATGATGGTCTTGCAAGATTGGGTGTCTCGGTATTAACTTTTTCAATTTGAGAGATGCCAAGATTGTCTACAAGAACATACATATGTGTGTCAGCCACACACAACTTTCCTTTTTTAACATGAGTATTACTGTTACTAATTTTCCCACAGAAATTTATCTTAATGGTAATTTGGAATTTGGAAAATAAAATTAATCTTGCATCAAAATACTCTTGATGGAGCAAAAATAAATTCTGTACTTTTCATCCCTCTAAACTCGACTCAGGAAATCGTAGCACAATTACCAATTCACTCTACTTTTTTCAAAACCCTAGACTATCTCCATTTGTCTTACGAACAATTACAACATTCTCAAAACTAATTTTGTAACATGCAGCTAAGAAAAGGAAGAAAAGAAAGTAGATCATAAAATTAAATAAGCTGGTAACTTCCAAAACAGTAAAAAATGCCATCTGAATGTCTTGATTTGCATCTATATTTGTGCATGTTTAACATTCATAGCTGAATCATAACCCATATTTCGTCTTTTGTACTAACTTTACAACAACAACAAAAAAAGTCGATCAAAAATCGAACCATTAAAAATTAAAAATCCAGCCGGGCTCGGTGGCTCAGACTGTAATCCCGCGCCTTTGGGAGGCTGAGGTAAGTGGATTGCCTGAGCCCGCGGGTTTGAGACCCACCTGGGCAGTGAGACCTCACCTCTACAATAAATCAAAAAATCAGCTGGGCGTGGTAGCGCACGCCTGTAATTCCAGCTACTCGGAAGGCTGAGGCAGAAGGATTGCCGGAGCCCAGCAGGCGAGGCTGCGGTGGCCGGGAGCAGCCACTGCACTCCAGTCTGGCGACAGAGTGAGACTCCAACTCAAAAAAAAAATAAAAAAAATTAAAAATCACTCTTTTGGCCAGGTACAGTAGCTCAGCACTTTGGGAGGAGGATCACTTGAGCACAAGAGTTCAAGACCAGCCTGGGCAACATAGGAAGACCTTGGTTCCACAAAAAAAAAATTTTTAATTAGCTAAACATGGTGTTGTGCACCTATAGTCCCAGCTACTCAGGAGGCGGAGGATTGCTTGACTCCAAGATTTTGAGGTTGCAGTGAGCTATGATCACACCACTGCATGCTAGCCTGGAATAAAGAGATCCCATCTCTAAAACAAAGCAAAACACAATGGATACTTGTATACCTAACCCTTGACTGTACCCCACAATTTTAAAATAAAAAATATATTTTTTTAAAAAATAGGCCGGGCTCGGTGGCTCAGTCTGTAATCCTACACTTCGGGAGGCCAAGGTGAGTGGAATGCCTGAGCCCACAGGTTCGAGACCCACCTGGGCAACTTGGCAAGACCTCATCTCTGCAATAAATAAAAAAAAAAAAATAGCCAGACATGGTAGCGCGGCGCCTATAGTTCCAGCCACTTGGAAGGCTGAGGAGGAAGGACAGCCAGAGCCCAGCAGGTGGAGGCTGCATTGGCCGGAAGCGGCCACCGCACTCCAGTCTGGGTGACACACTGAGACTCCAACTCAAAACAAAAACAAAAACAAAAACAAAACTTCTCATCAACAAAGGTACCTGCACAATGAATATTTGTACACCTAACCCTTAACTGTACCCCACAATTTTAAAATAAAAAATATATATTAAAAAAAAACACAGCAAAACAGCCAATCTTTTATATAACTCTTCAGCTAAATTTTAAAATTATTTATAAATAAAGTTATCTATCAAAATCTATGACATATAGCCAAAACGAAAACTTTACCCTTCTAAAAATTTTCATTTTAAAAAAGAATTAGTAAATACTACTAACTGAGAATCTGATTCCAGAAGATGGAAACATAACAACCAAATTGCCCCCATACAAAGTTAAGAGTGGCCGGGCTCTGTGGCTCAGCCTGTAATCCCAGCATTTTGGGAAGCCAAAGTGAGTGGACTGTCTGAGCCCACAGGTTCGAGACCTGCCCGGGCAACTTGGCGAGACCTCATCTCTACAATAAATCAAAAATTAGCGGGGTGTGGTAGCAAGCGCCTGTAGTTCCAGCTACCTGGAAGGCTGAGGCAGAAGGAACACTGGGGCCCAGCAGGTCGTGGCTGCGGTGGCCGGGAATGTGCCACTGCACTCCAGTCTAGGTGACAGAGTGAGACTCCGACTCAAATAAAAAAAAGTAAGAGTAATACATTAAGAAAAAGGAAAAACTAATGAATAAAAAACAAAAAACAAGGCCAGGGCCGGTGACTCAGCCTGTAATCCCAGTACTTTGGGAGGCCAAGGCGAGTGGATTGCCTGAGCCCGCAGGTTCGAGACCAGTCTGGGCAACTTGGTAAGACTTTGTCTCTACAATAAATAATAAAAAATTAGCTGGGTGTGGTAGCACGCGACTATAGTTCCAGCTGCTCAGAAGGCTGAGGTGGAAGGATAGCCGGAGCTCAGCATGTCGACGCTGGGGTGGCCATGAGCATGCTACAGAACTCTAGCCTGGGCAACGGAGTGAGAATCAAGCTCAAAAGAAAAAAAAAAATGAATGAAACAAAAACAAAGCAAGAGTTGATTTTCAGGAAAGCTATAACAATAGAAAAACCTACGATATCTAGACAAAGGGAGAAAAGACATTTATTTTTTTAAAAACCCCTAAACCCTATAATGTAGAAAGCTTATATACATAATAAAGTAGTATGGGGAATGGGATTTTTTTTAAAAATCATGCAAAGGAAATGGTATCCAAAATCAGATATATACACACACAAATACACAGACTTAGTTTATGAATCAAGTGATGACATTTTATATCAGTGGGGACAATTAAAGATACATGTATTAAAAATTAAAAAGCCCTGCCCACATATAAAAACAAATTTCAGGAGAATTTAAAATATTTAAAAGAAGAAACAAGGGCATGGAGAAACAGGCACAAAAAACCCCACAACGAACGCTTAATTTCTTTATGATAAAAATAATATATCCAGTTAAAAGAAACACAACAGACTCTGAAAAAAGTGTTTAACACTTTAACATACAAAGGACTATCCTCTATACTCAAATATTGCTTACAAATCCAATAATTATATACCAATAACTCAACAGAAAAATGGGCAAAGTGTATGAACAAACATCTCATAGGATAAAATACAGACAGTCAACATACAAGTAAGTTCTACTTTACTCATAAATAAAAGCAGGCTAATTATGAGATACACTTTTGGGCCTATTATGTTGGGGGGGAAAGAAGCTGAAGATCCCACAGTTAGCAAGAGTGGCAAGAAATGAGCATGCTCTTATACAACTGGTATGAGCACAAATACATATAGTCTTGTAAGAAATGTCTAGAGATGATTTAAATGTCCATCACAACTGGAGCAACAAAATAAATAAATAACAACAGATTAAAACCCACAGAGTAAAAGAAATATCCATGTGCCTATAATGATACAAATAAATACCTTAATAAATAAATGAGGGAACAAGTAAAGCTCTTCTGTATGGTAGGATTTTGATTAAGAATCATTAATGAATGCTTAAAATAAGTAGGTAAAAGAGAAACAAGATATTTAAATAATCTCAAAGTTCTTTCCTGCAAGATTCTTATTAATTACAACAGGAAAAATAGTAATCTTATGATGGAGTAACTTGGAACACAGTACCTTAATCAAGTGACCCAGGTTACCATCACCCCCAGTGATAAAGTAACACCATGTGCCTCCTGATTCATACACTGAGAAGGGCACAACATAATTTCTGAGATATTTGTGCCCAAAATGCATAACCTAAGTTTTATCATACAAAGACATCGGGCAGACATAAACTGAAGGTTTAATATAACTAGCCAGTACTTTTTAAAAACGTGCCAAGGTCGCCAGACTCCAAGTTATTCTATCATAATCCCAGCACTTTGGGAGGCCAAGGAGAGTGGACTGCCAGACCCCGTGGGTTCGAGACTCGCCCAGGCAACTTGGTGAGACCTCGTCTCTACAATAAATCAAAAAAATTAGCTGGGCATGGTAGCGCATTCCTGTAATTCCGGCTATTTGGAAGGCTGAGGCAAAAGGATCGCTGGAGCCCAACAAGTCGAGGCTGCGATAGCCAGGAGCATGTCACTGCACTCTAATCTGGGCGACAGAGCAAGACATCAACTCAAAAAAAAAAAAAAAAAATCTCATTTCTCTTTCTAACCTGTGAATGAAAAATAAATAGCATCACAACATTGAAAGTCAATGGCCAAGCCGGGCTCGGTGGCTCAGCCTGTAATCCCACGCCTTTGGGAGGCTGAGGTGAGTGGTTTGCCTGAGCCCACAGGTTCGAGATCCACCTGGGCAACTTGGTGAGACCTCATCTCTACAATAAATCAAAAATGAGCTTGGGCATGGTAGCATGCGCCTGTAGTTCCAGCTACTTGGAAGGCTGAGGCGGAAGGATCGCTGGAGCCCAGCAGGTTGAGGCTGCAGTGGCCAGGAGCGCCCACTGTACTCCAGTCTGGGAGACAGAGTGAGACTCCAACTCAAAAAAAAAAAAAGAAAGTCAAAGGCCTATTTTAAAGAAAAGTCTGCAGGGCCTGGTGCAGGGCCTCATGCCTGTCATCCAAGCACTTTGGGAGGTCTAAGCGGGAGGATCACTTGAGCCCAGGAGTTTAAGACCAGCCTGGGCAACATCATGAGACCTTGTCTCTACAAAAATAAGTTAATATAAATTAAAAAATAAAAAGTGCCAAGGTCAAAAAAACCACAAGGAAGCTGGATGCGCAGTGGCTGACAACTGTAATCCCAGCACTTTGGGAGGCAGAGGTAAGAGGATTGCCTGAGCCCACAAGTTTGAGACCAACCTGGGCAACAAGGAGAGACCTTGTCTCTACAATAAATCAAAAAATTAGCTATACGTGGGGACACACACCTGCATTTCCAGTTACTTGAAAGGCTGAACAGGAAGGATCACCTGGGCCCAGCAGGTTAAGGCTAGGGTGACCATGAATGAGCATGCCACCACACTCCAGCCTGGGCAACAGAGTAAGATTCCAACTCAAAAAAAATTTAAAAAAGAAAAGTCACAAGGAAGACTGAGGACCTATGCAAGATTAAAGGAGACTACGGAGATGTGATAACTAAATACAATGTGTGACCCTGGATTGAATCCTGGTGCCCAAAAGGATATGGGTGAGACAACCGACAAAATCTAAATGAGGTCTGCAGGTTAACTAACAGTGTGGTATCAATGTAGTTTTGTTGTTTTTTGTTTTAACTGGCTCCCTCTAAACAGGGTTTGGGAGTGTTCTTCTTTTTGGTTTATATTCTAGAGAGCAGGTCTCACTGTGCTACCAAGGCTAGAGTGCAGTGCCTACTCATAGGTAGAGTTACGAAGTTCAACATCCTCGAATCCCTGCAGTCAGATGATCCTCCAATCTCATCTGTAATTTTCTAATTTTGATCACTGTACAGTGGTTATTTTAGACTTAATATTCATGGAAACAAGGGGAAGGTGACACAAGAATTTCTTATACTATTTTTGCAACATTTTTGTATGCCTGAAATTATTCCAAAATGGAAAGTTAAAAAATATTTTTAAGGTCCATAAGTTCTGACCCAGAACTCCAAATTCTAGGAATCTTACCTTAGAAAGAGTTGCATGTAGGTAAAAGTCTGTTGAAGCACTGCTTATCAGAGTTATAAACTGAAAATTTATACTGACCTCAGGATAGGCTAATTCTACCTTTCCACCAGCTAAGAAGCCACATTTTTTTTCTCTCTAACTTCTCCCCATTAGAACATTTTTACCTTTTCAGTCGGGCATGGTGCCCTCACGCCTATAATCTCAGTACTTCAGGAGGGAGGCAGAGGTGAGAAGACTGCCTGAGCTCAGGGGTTTGAAACCACCCTGGGCAACTTGATGAGACCTCATCTCTACAACAAGCCAAAAAATTAGCTGGGCATGGTGGCGCACACCTGTGGTTCCAGTTACTTGGAAGACCGAGGCGGAAGGATCACCTAAGTCTAGCAGGTTGAGGCTGTGGTAGCTATGAGCATGCTACTGCACGCCAGCCTGGGTGACAGAGTGAGACTCTGACTCACAAAATAAAAATATAAAAAACATTTTCACCATTTCTAAGTTAGTAAGTTGCAAAGCAGTTGACAGTTTTATCCACTTACTAGTGCACATACATCTCAGCTAGCTCTGCGCAGATGTGCTAGTGATCTATTTTGCCTTATCTTATATAATGGAGCTGCAGACTGTATTTAATCTGATTTTTCTACCAATATTTTCTTTAATGTAGGACATTTAAAAATTTTATCAAAATAATTATTTATATTAAAACAACCAAAACAAATCGATCCAAAAAAAGCTATCAAGGTATTGACAGACTATAAAAAGAACCAATTCTATCTAATACTCTCCTATTAAGTTGGCAAACATCAATGGAACCGATCCAGCTTCAACTTTGACTATCTTTATTCTGCAGCTCTCACCAGCTTTTCTGTTACTAACCTTTTTAAAACTACTTTTATTCCCATCTTTTCCCCCTGCTTAATCCCATGGCATAAAACAACTGACTGGTATAATTATTTGTTGGCCTAAGGCTTACATTTAGGAAAAATCATTATGTAGTTCGTATCTTCTGTGGTGAGATTTCTTAGTTAAGCTAAGAAAAATTAAAAATTGCAAATGGAGGTTACTAAAACCTCACTTTTTATTTTTTGACCCAAAGATTCACTTTGAGAAGTACTGGGATATGAACACAAACACCTACGGTAGTATGTAACCATGTATGAGTATTGTTCCAATCGGCTGCTCACCTGTTTTCTTCGCCATGGGACGGGTGGTGCCGCAGCACATCCTGCAGGAAGCGTTCCATGAGACTGCTGGTGCACATTCGATTTCTGCTCTCTCTGGTCAAACTTCTGTGCTGACCACTGAACAAGTGCTATAGAGAAAAAAGAAACCAAGCATTTTTAAATGGGTAATACTCATTAATAGTGAGAGTTTCACAAAATGGATGTATTTATGTACTTCTGGTTGAATTTTAAGCTGATAGCTTTTATATAAAGCAATTCTGAAATTTGCATTAAACACTGTAAGAACATTTTCCCCTTAGATATAGTCATTACATTATTCCAAATGTATCTTAAGAATATCATTTAAAATGCAGGTGATTTATGCAAAAAAAAAAAAAGATACTATTATCACAGTGTAACAAAAACTGGGAACCCCGTAAGTGTCTAACAGTGAAATCCTTCAATTATAATAGGCCCTAAGGTGTAATGCTATACAGCTGTGTTAATACAAAAAAATTTTAATAGCATGGAGAAATGTAACATATTAAGAGAAAAATGGGGGATGCAAAAATCGCATGTATGGTTTTATCTCAAACTGCAGTTTTAAATATATGGACAAGTAAGTGGAAGACAATACAGTGGCTCCCCCATATCCGTGGGAGACACGTTTCAAGACCTCAGTGGACACCTGAAGCCGCAAATAACACTGAGCCTTCTATACACTGAGCCCTCTATACTAGGCTTTTCCCTACACATACACACTTATAAGATTTAATTTATAAATCAGGTATAGTAAGAGATTAACAACAATAACTGATTATGAAATAAAACCATTAACAATATACTGCAACAAAAGTAAAGTAAGTGTTCCTAAGTATAAGCACTGTGATACGCAAAGTCGACCTAGTGACAGAGATGCTACAGTAACTCCTGGATAGGAGCATGAGCAGCAAGAACGTGCTGGACACAGGAAAGATGCACGTCCTGGGTGGGTGAGGAACAGCACACAATTCCATCACACTAAGAAAGATGCGAGATTCATTCACGCATTTACTCCTGCAATGTTCTATTTAATATTTTCAGGCCATAATTGACTGTGGATAACTGAAACCAATCATGGGTAAGAGGGGGATTACTGTATGCCAAAATCTTAAAAACATTTAGATCTGTGTATTATAGGTGATTTTTAAATTTTTTCTTATAAATTCTTACACTTCTCAATGAGTAAATACTTTTAAAAATAAAAATCTGTTAAAAGAGAGAACAAGGTTGGATTACTGTATTAAATAATCAGAGATTAATTCACAAAAAGGTCTTGATTTTCCTTCAAAAATTATGTCTTGCCTTAAACAGAATATTAAAATAAATATACTAACACTTTGGGAGGACGAGGTGAGTGGACTGCCTGAGCCCACGGGTTTGAGACCAGCCCGGGCAACTTGGCGAGACCTCGTCTCTACAATAAGTCACTAATTAGCCAGGTGTGGTATCGCAAGCCTGTAGTTCCGGCTACTTGGAAGGCTGAGGTAGAAAGATTGCCAGAGTCCAGCAGGTCAATGCTGGGGTGGCCATGAGTTTGCCACTGCACTCCAGCCTGGGCAACCAAGTGAGATTACAACTCAAAAATAAATAAAATATACTAAATTTTTCTGCTTTGTAATTCCCTTCACAGTTAGAAACATTCTGTTCTTAATATTATTTAGTGGACCAATAAGGATGGAAAAGCCTGACCCCTATCAGACACCTATGAGTGCCCAATACAGTGCTACTCTATAGACTCACACTCACTGAACTTTCACTGAGTAGGAATACTGTCCCCTTCTGATGTGAAAAGATTAAAGTGAACTGCCTGCAGTGTCTTGCCAGCAAGCAGCATGGTCAGGGCTGGAATCTGGGTCTAGTCTAATGCTAACGCTCTTGCATTGCAGCACATCAGCACTGATGGCAGATTTCCAACATGTTATTTACAATTTAATAACATTTTAATGTAACAATACTTAGAAAAGTGATGTTTTAAACATCATGGTAAAGGTGTCAAAAGAATTGAGATCAGGTTAGTAGCTCCTGACCCCTACTGCAACTCTTGGAGTACTTCCTTCCATGTTGCCCTCCGGTCTACACTAGTACTCCTAGCCCCAAGAACAACCTAAGTATGACACTCTCAAAGTCTTCCTGTGGTCCAGCACCCACGACAGAGTTACAATGCCTGGTGGCTGAAGGAGAAAAGTACACCAGGGGACAAATAAAGACTCAATTAAAATCCAACCTTGTCCTCTCTGTCAAGGAAAAAAAAAACGTGAATGGAAAACTACATTTACATGAGCTGCAGTAACTACTATATTGTATGCCCCAGAAGGTGACAGTTCCCTTAGATTTTCTGAATTCACGTATAACATAAAGTATGCAAATCATATGCATACAGCTCAATAAACTGTCACAAAGTAAACATATCCATGTCATCTATCCATGAAAAACTAACAAGCACCCAAAAATCCTTCACGTCCCATCCCAATCTAATACCTCTTCCCCCTTTTCCAACAGTAATTGTTGCCTAATTTTTGATACTATAGGTTTGAAAATCTCCAAAATTTGCCAGGCATGGTGGTTCAATCCTGTAATCTCAGCACTTTGGGAGGCAGAGGCAAGAGAACTGTCTGAGATCAGGGGTTTGAGATCAGTCTATGCAACTTGGTGAGACCTCATCTGTATACTCAGTAAAGAAAAACAGCAAGGTGCTGTAGCTCATGCCTGTAATCCCAGCAACTTTGGGAGGCCAAGGCGAGAGGACTGCCTGAGCTCAGGGGTTTGAGATCAGCCTGGGCAACATGGTGAGACCTCATCTCTACAATAAATAAAAAAATTAGCTGGGTGTGGTGGCGCACGCCTGTAGTTCTAGCTACTTGGAAAGCTGAGGCAGAAGGACTGCCTGAGCCCAGGAGGTCAAGGCTGTGGTGGCCATGAGCATGTACTACACTCCAGCCTGGGCAAGAGTGAGACTCTGACTCAAAAAAAAAAAAAAAAAAATCAAGAAAAACTAGCTAGGTGTGATGATGCATACTTGTAGTCCCAGCTACTTGGAAGGCTGAGGTGGAAGGATCACCTAAGCCCAGCAGGTTAAGGCTGCAGTGGCCATGAGCATGCCACTGCATTCCAGCCTGGGCAACAGAGTGAGACTCCGACTCAGAAAAAAAAAAAGTTTCCAAAATTTAGAGAGTCACAGACCTATTCTTTGGCATTCAGCTTCTTCCACTCTATCTTGTATTTGTGATATTCATCTGTAATAGCTATAATCTGTTTGCTTTCATTTTTGCATAATATGCCATTGCATGCATATACCTTATTTTATTTATCTATTCTACTCTTGATGAACATTTGTGTTGTTTCCAACTTCTGGCCATTTCTGATAATGCTGCAACCTTCCTATCTATTTCTTGGTGCCAATGTGCATGCATTTTTGTTGAGTATACTGTCAGGAGTGAACTTGAGGATTGCAATATTTGCAAGTGTTCACTTTAGCACCCACTGCTGAACACTTCTTCCAGGGGTTGTACAATTTATATTCCTACCAGCAGTGTGCCAGTTTCCACTGCTCCACTTCCTCATCGACCATGGTACAGCCAGTCTCTCTAATTTTAGCTACTGTGGAGGGTACTGAATGTTGCATCACCGTGGCCTCAATTTGCAATTTCTGAGATGGTTTTTCACTTTTGCTGGCCATCTGGGCCACCTCTTCTACAACGGGTCTCAAGTCTCTTACTGTTTTTCAAATGGAGGTCCTGTCTCTTTCTTACTGACGTGTAGGAATTCCTTGTTTATTCTGGACACCAGCCCTTTGTTCAATCATGCTTCAAGCACCATCTTCCTCTCTGTGGCTTGTCTTCTCACTTTCTTAATCATCCTCAATTGTTTCTTAACTTTACTTCGACCCTGTTTATCTTTTTTTCCCTTTGTCAGTCCTTTCTGTGGCCAGAAATCTCTCCCTATCCTCAAAGTCATAAAGATGATTTGTTTCTATTAGCTTTACTGTTTTACCTACAAATTGATTTTTATACACAGGATCATTTTGTATTCAATAGTTTCCTTTTCTCCCCCACATGAATACTCAATTGATTCAGTATCAATTATTGAAGAAAGTCTTGTGCTTATGCAGTGTCACTGCTGTCACAAATCAAATATCCAGAGTTGCATCTGTTTCTGGAGTTTCTGGCTCATTCCCATTGTCTTTCTTTTTTTTATTTTTATTTTTTATTTCAAGATGTGGGGTACAATTCAGGGTTAGTTATACAATTGTTTATTATGCAGGTGCCCTTGTTGATGAAGTATGCCCGTCCCTCCCCTGGCAGTTTCCCTCAACCGCCAATCCCATTCCCCCTCCCCTGGCAGTTTCCCACCACTGCCAATCCCTTTCTTATAATATGAGAATTGTTCAAGCTCCGCCGCTTATAAGTAAGAATATATGATACTCTATTTTTTTTGTTTTTTTTTCTGAGTTGGAGTCTCACTCTGTCACCCAGACTGGAGTGCAGTGGCACACTCCCGGCCACCGCAGGCTCGACCAGTTGGGCTCCAGCGATCCTTCCGCCTCAGCTCAGCTAATTTTTTATTTATTGTAGAGATGAGGTCTCGCCAAGTTGCCTGGGCGGGTCTCGAACCCATGGGCTCAGGCAATCCACTCGCCTTGGCCTCCCAAAGTGCTGGGATTACAGGCCGAGCCACCGAGCCGGGCCATACTCTGTTCTTTATTTCTGTGAGAGATCACTGAGTATAATAGACTCTAAACCCATCCAAGTTGCTGCAAAGTCCGTATGTTTGTCCTTCTTTAGGCTGCATAATACTCCATTGTGTATATATACCACATTTTTTATCCAGTTCAGCTTCGATGGACAGTGTGGTTGGTTCCATATTTTTGCTATTGTGAATAGAGCTACAACAAACATGTGTGTTTATGGTAGAATGACTTGAGTTCCTCCAGGTATATTCCCAATAGGAGGATTGCTGGGTCATACAAAGGTCAATTTCTAATTCTTTCAGAAATCGCCATACTGTCTTCCAAAGAGATCGGACTAGTTAACATTCCCACCACCAGCAGTGTAGAAGCGTTCCTTTTTCTCCGCATCCTCGCCAGCATCTGTTGTTGTTTGTTTTATTGATAGCCATTTTTACTGGGATTAGGTGGTATCTCAATGTGGTTCTGATTTGCATTTCTCTGATGATGAGTGAGGCTGAGCACTTTTTCACGTGTCTGTTGGCTGCCCGTATATCCTCTTTTGAGAAATGTCTATTCATGTCTTTTGCCCACTTTTTAATGGGGTCACTCCCATAGTCTTTCTAATTTGCACCAAGACTGCACTATCTTAACGATTACAGTTTAGTATGTTTTAACATCTGATAGAAGACATCCTCTTCCTTGGTCTTAAGAACATCCTGGTTCTTCTTAGCCTTTTACATTCCCACAGTTTTAAAACTGGCTTAACTTTCATTAAAAGAAAAAAAAACTTCTGAGATTTTGACCAGAATTACATTGGATAAATATAAAATTTAGGCAGAATCAACATAATTAAATTTAAATTTTTGTTTTCTTTTTAAAATCTATTACTGTTCTTGCCTGTACAATATCCCTTTTTCTTTTCTTTCTTGTCTTCTTGTGAACTGTGTTTCATGACTTCAATTTTCCCTTCCTGTTAACTGAGTAGTTAGTTTCTGACTCTTTTCCTAGTCTACTATTAGTAACATATAAAAAGGAACCCTGAGCTACCAAAATATACAATTACTTGTGACTTTGCTTCATGCATTTTGCAAGGTCCTTAGACAGTGACCCTCAACTCCCTCCCAAGCTCCATGCCACTGTGCTCACCCGCATATCACCCAGCATTCACTAGAGCACCTCCATATTTACCTGTCCACCGCTCTTCATTACTTCCAGCATCTCTGAGCTTCCAGCTGGAATCATTTTCCTTCTGCCTGAAGAACTCCTTTTTAGTTTTTCCTTTAGGGAGGGTCTGCTGGTGACAAATTCCCTTAATTTTTATTTCTGAAAATATTTTTATTTCACCTTATTACAAGATACTTAGTGAGTACAGAACTCTAGGTGGTGATGGTTTTCTTTTGGTTGCCAATGTTTCTGCTGAATACGCCACTAGATCTGGGACCCATATTTCTTCACTGTCTTAATAGTTCTCCAGAGCCTTGAAACACAAGGCTGCAAAAATCCTCAACAAATATTATCAAACCAAATTGAGCAACATACATAAGGGGGACCCAAAAAAAATCCAACATTTATAAAAAATTGTGTATTTATTTTTACATAATTAAACTTCAGTCACCTTCAAAGTACTCTCCATTTGATGTAATACATTGATCGAGACACTTTCCACTGCTCAAAACAGTTTTAAACTCATCAATTTTGGTGCTTCTGCCATGCTTTTTTCAACTCTTCTACGCTGGCAAAATGTTTCCCTTTGAGGACTTTGTTCATCGGGGAAACAAAAAAAAAACTGTGCTTGGGGTGAGACTGGGTGAATAGGGAGGTCATGATGTTTTTTGTCAAAAACTGCTGAACACTCAGTACGGTGTGGGCAGGGTGTGGGCAGGTTGTTCATGTAAATCATCCAACAAGAAATGGGCAAATACATTCAAAGAATCTACAAAAAAATTCAATGAAGCTGAATGTAGCCTCTCACAACACCACTAGCTGATGCCAGCGGGGTCCCAGAACACTTACTTAGCGAGGGAAGCCTGTACAAGGGGCCTGCCCTCCAAAAAATAATTCTAGATTTTTTGGGTCCCCCTCTCCCCTTATAAAAAGAATTATATACCATGACCAAGTAAGGTTTATACCAGAAATGCAAGATCAGCTTTAACATCTGAAAACCAATCAATGTAATAGCTATAGATTGATCTGCATTCTCCCAAAATGCATATGTTCTAAGCCCTAATGTGGGCTTAGATAGGGCTTTTAGGAGGCAATTTAGGTTAAATGAAGTCATAAGGGTAGGGGTTCCTTGTTCCATAGGACTGGTGGGCTTACAAGGAGAAGACGCAAAATCACCCTCTCTCTCTACCAGGTGAAGACACAGTGAGAAGGCAACTCTCCACAAGCCAGAAACAGAACCTGCGTCAGCTAGCACCTTGATCCTGGACTTCCCAGTCTTCAAACTAGGAGGAATTAATTAATGCTATTTAAGCCACCCACACTCTATGGTATTTTATCATGACAGCCTGAGCTGACAAATACAACATATTAAAAAATAAGCTGGGTGTACTTGCTCATGCCTGTAATCCCAGCACTTTGGGAGGCGGAGGCAAGGATTGCCTGAGCACATGGGTTGGAGACCAGCCTGGACAACATGGAGAGATCTCGTCTCTACAATAAACCAAAAAATTAGCTGGATGGTGGTGGAATTACACCTGTAATTCCAGTTATTTGGAAGGCTCACCTGAGCCCAGTGGGCCAAGGCTATTGTGGCTATGAGCATGCCACTGCACTCCAGCCTGGGCAACAGACTGAGACTCTGACCAAAAGAAAAATAATAAAGTTGGGCACAGTGGCAGCTCATGTCTGTAATCCCAGCACTTTGGGAGGCAGAGGCAAGAGGACTATCTGAGCCCAGGGGTTCAAGACCTGGGCAACACAGCAAGACCACATCTTTAAAATAAATCAAAAAATTAGCCAAGTATGATGGCACATGCTTGTAGGGAATTCCAGCTACCTGGAAGGCTGAGACAGAAGGATCGCCTACGCCAGGAGGTTGATGATGTGGTCTGAGTGTGTCACTGCACTCCAGCATGGGTGACAGAGTGAGACTCCAACTCAAATAAAGATAATTTCAAAAATAATAATGATAAAGAAAAAACCACACTATCTAATAGATGCAGAAAAGCATTTGACAAAAGCCTACACCGTTTCATGATTAAATACTTAACAAACTAGGACTAGATGGTTAAAACCCACAACTAACTAGCTTAAGGTGAAAGCTTTCACCCTAAGATCAGGAACAAGACAAGGATGTCCATTCTCACTACTTTTATTTAACAACTACTGTACTAGAAGTTCTAGTAAGAGCAATTAGGCAAGAAAAAGAAACAATGGCAGCCAGATTAGAAAAGTAGTAAAATTACTTGCAGATGACATAAGTATGTACACACAAAATCCTAAGGAACCCATACAAAAAATTATTAGAGTTAATAAAAGAGTTCAGTAATGGTATATGCTACAAGATCAGTATTAAAAAAAAAATTTGAAGCTCTCCATACACTAGTAATGAACAATCCAAAACGAATTTAAGAAAATTCCATTTATATCATAATCAAGAAGAATAAAATACGTAAGAATAAATTTAACCTAAGAAGTATAAGACATGTACACTGAAAAGTACAAATTGTTGTTGAAAGATTTTAGCCAGGCATGGTGACTCAAACCTGTAATCCCAGCATGTTGGGAGGCAGAGGCAAGAGGATTGTGCGAGTCCAGGAGTTTGAGACCAGCCTGGGCAACTTGGTAAGACCTCATCTCTACAGTAAATCAAAAAACTAGCCAGGCACGGTGGCTCACATCTGTGGTTCCAGCTACTTAGAAGGCTGCGGTGGCCATAAGTGTGCCTGGGCAACAGAGTGAGACTCCTACTCAAAAAAAAAAAAAAAGAAAAGAAAAGAAAGATTTTATAGAAGCTCTACATAAGGGAAATACATACCCACTCATGAACTGGAAGACAATAATATTAAGAAGGGTACCCCCAAATTCATCTACAGATTCAACACAATCCTTACCAGAATTCTGCTGTTTTGCAGAAACTGATAAGGTGATCTTAAAATTCATATGGAAATGCAAGGAACCAAGAATAGCCACGACAATCTTGAAAAAGAGGAACCAAGTTGGAGGACACAAAAATACTGATTCCAAACTTTAATACAAAGCTACAGGACTGTGTAGTACTGGCGGGGTGCTCACGGATCAGTGAAACAGAACGGAGAAGATAGAACTTACCCTTACAACTAACTTTCAAAAAGGATTCAAGGAAACTGAATGGAAGACAAGTGGTGCTAGACTATGGACATCACATGCAAAAGAACAAAGCTGACAAAGATGGCCAGAACAACGAACACACAACTACATGTCAACAGAAACAACCCAGGGAGAGCACTGGAGGGTCTCAGAGGAGTAACCAAACCCTGGTGAGCACAGAAACTTGGATGGTCACACAGAGAGTAGAAGGAGCTGAGGCAGGATTGCTTGAGCCCAGGAGTTCAAGACCAGGCTGGGCAATACAGCAAGACCCCATCTCCACAAAAAATTTAAAAATTTAAAAAATTAGCCAGACATGGTGGTGCACACCTATAGTTCTAGCTACTCAGGAGGTTGAGGCAGGAGAATCACTTCAGCCCAGGAGTTCAACATTACAGTGAGCTATAATTGTGCCACTACACTCCAGCTTGGGTGACAAAGTGAAACTGACTTTAAAAAAAAAGAGAGAGAGAGAGAGAGAGAGTGTGTGTGTGACTGGAAGGAAATGTGGGGCCTCCACCACCTCATTACTACCTGGAATCAGCAGGGAGCCAGGGGAACTTCTCCCTATAGCTAGGTCAGCAGATGGATCCCAGTACCCTGTTATCAACACCCTGGACACCAAGCGAACTCACCGCTGGGTTCCCTGCACAGGCACTAACTCAGCGGAAGGAGTTGCCTAGAGTCCCCACAGCCGTGCTCCTGCAAGGAAGAGCCAACACTGCCATGCTGTGCTAGCTTGCAGTCCCCATGGCTACAATGCCCCACCATCTAGGAACTGAACTAAGGCTACAGTGTATCTTGCTCTGGGTCAAGAAGCTGCAGCTCCCCTTCATCTCTGAGGCTAAGCCATCATCAAGCCACCAGTGGGGTGAGCAAAGGTAGAGCTGCTCACCTGCCCTGCTCCATCCCCAGGCCTGAGCTGAAACAACAGCCTGCCTGCTGAGAACACAATACCTGACCTCAGGGCAGGCACACCTCCCCAGGCCTAGACTGAAGCAGCACATGCATCCAGATACCATGCCTTAGATGCTCAGAACAGTCACACACCCCAGTACCTAGCTGAAGTGGTCGCCCAGAACAGTCACGGCCCCTGGTCTGTAGCAGAATATCACCCCTGAGGAACCAGTGCCCTGGCTGAGCTGAGCAGCCGCACACCCGGGGAAACAGTAAGGGCTGAGATGAAACACCTGTCCTACAGGCCAAATAACTCTAGCTCATTGCTTACCTGGAGAACTGGACTAGATCCCTAGAAAGAGATGCTGAGACACCCTCTCCCTGGGAAATAGAGCCACTGCTATGCTACTCCCCACCCTTACCCCAGGGCCCACACAACAGCTGTGTTCTGCCACTCTGGGGTCCTTCCTGCTGCCACAGGGTCTGAGATACTGCCAAGTCCCCACCCCAGGGCCCACAATCACTACTACATGGTGCCCCATCCTCTGGGACCTGTGTTGCCAACAGCCCTATTGATTCAGGTTCCTGAAGTGCAGCCATACCCTGCTCCCGGGGTTCAAGGATTCAGAGTGTCCCTCCTTTCCTGGAGTTGGGTCAGAGGTATGCTCTGCCCCACAGGGGCAAAATCACAGCTAAATCCCAACTCCCTGGACCTGAGCTGCCAGGGTGTGCCTGAGAGTTCCAGACCCTGGCTCTGTAGGCAATTACATCCAACTTCACCAACAAAAACAAGTCTACACCCCAACACCTAGTGTAACAAGAGGTTCAGAGACTGTGAGCTTGGGAAACCGGCTCAATAGCCACTCCAAGCACATAAAGTTTAGGGTCACATGGTCATTGCCACTGCATACAGGCCAAATCAGGCCTGACACCAAGGGAGGACTTAGCAAAGTCTCCCCATCATGGGGAAAATAAGAATAGGTGGATCCCCAAACCCTTAACACCAAGGACATCAACAACCTGTGCTGTCACATATTATAAGGCACGTTATG